ATTGTACAATTTTTGGTTTTAGATTACTAATTTCTCAGTTTCCGACTACCCATATTTCATTATGTGGTGTACTCGTGTTTATATATGATGTCTACTCATTTTTATATTAGTTTATATGAATAAGCTAATATTACTAGAATACCCATATTTCATTATGTTGGTTTGGTTTGGTTTTGCAACTAATTATGCAATTTTCAGAACGGAATCAATGGATGAACATCCAACTCTATATTTTCCTCTGTCAGACTGATTGTAATTTATTTGATAATACTTCCTAGTAGTAGTTGTGTTGGGTAATTTGTAAGCATGTGTTGGGTAATTTATGAGCTATGGTGGTTGTTGTAGTAATAATGGAGGCATTTGAGTTTCTACATGTGATTGTTTTCCTCTGCTTCTATGGGAGGGCGTTGATCTATATCAAAAAACTATTAGCTCAAATGGTAGAGCACTATGCAAATGCATAGATGATGTAGGTTCGAATCCTACATAGGCTATATTTATAAATAACAAAAAAAAAAAAAAAAATTTAAAACATAGGTAGTAAAAATTTAGAACATAGGAAAAAAAAACATTAGAACATAAGTAGACTGAATTTAGAACATAAGCAAAAGAATTTAGAACATAAGTAGACTAAATTTAAAACATAGGAAAAAAAAATTTATAACATAGTAAAGAATATTTAGAACATAAAAAAAAAAAAAAAAAAAAAACTTTATTAAAATATAGGTAGTAAAAAATTAGAACATAGGAAAAAAAAACTTTAGAACATAAGTAGACTGAATTTAGAACATAGGCAAAAAGAATTTAGAACATAGGTAAATGAATATTTAGAACATAGGAAGAAAAAAAACTTTAGAACATAGGAAAAAATTAGAGCATAGGTTGAAAAAATATAGAATATTGGAAAAAAAAGCTTTAGAACATAAGTAGACTAAATTTAAAACATAGGTAAAAGAATATTAGAACATTAAAAAAATAAATAAAAAAAAATAAAAACTTTAGAACATAGGGAAAAAAAACTTTAGAACATAAGTAGACTGAATTTAGAACATAGGCAAAAGAATTCAGAACATAGGTAAAAAAATATTTAGAACATAGGGAAAAAAAACTTTAGAACATAGGTAAAAAAAAATTAGAACAGAGAAAAAAAACTTTAGAACACAGGTAAAAAAAATTAGAACATAGAAAAAAAAACTTTAGAACATTAGTAGACTAAATTTTAAACATAGGAAAAAAAATTAGAACATAAGTAGACTAAATTACAGAAATGCCATTACTAAAGATCATTTTAGATGGTTGGATCAAAACTAATAAACGGTTGAGATGGGTTCTTATATAAAATTGAGTTCTTATATAGAGGAGGGTTCTTACAGCCCTCATATATATATATATATATATATATATATATACTACCTCCGTTTTTTATTATTTGCAACAAAGGAATATTTTATGTCTCACAAATAATACCCTTTTATTGCAAATAATAAAAAACGGAGGTAATATATATAGGGGAGGGATCCGGTAAGAACCTCTCCTTATATAAGAACCCAATCTTATATAAGAACCCCTCTTTATGTTCTAAACTTTTTTCGGCTTATGTTCTAAAGTTTTTCTATGTTCTAATTTTTTTCTGCTTATGTTCTAATTATTTCATATATTCTAAATTATTTTTTCAGCTTACATTCTAAATTTTTTCATATGTTCTAAATAATTTTTTCAACTTATGTTTTAAATTTTTTCCTATATTCTAAATTATTTTTTCAGATTATGTTCTTAATTTTTTCCTATGTTCTAAATTATTTTTCATATGTTCTAATATGTTTTAAATTTTTTTTCCTATATTCTATATTATTTTTTCGGCTTATGTTTTAAATTTTTTCCTATGTTCTAAATTATTTTTTCAACTTATGTTTTAAATTTTTTATTTTTTTCAGTTTACGTTCTAAATTTTTTCCTATGTTCTAAATTATTTTTCATATGTTTTAAATGTCTGTTTGTTTATGTTCTAAATTTTTTTTTTCTATGTTCTAAATAATTTTTTTCAGCATATGTTCTAAATTTTTTCTTATGTTCTAAATTTTTTTTTCAGCTTATGTTCTAAATTTTTTCCTATGTTCTAAATTATTTTTTAGCTTATGTTCTAAATTTTTTCCTATATTCTAAATTATTTTTCATATATTCTAAATGTTTGTTTGTTTAGGTTCTAAATTTTTCATATGTTCTAAATTTTTTTTCCTATATTATACATTTTTTTTCCTTATGTTCTAAATTTTTTTTTCAGATTATGTTTTAAATTTTTTTCTATGTTCTAATTTTTTTTTTCAGCTTACGTTCTAAATTTTTTCTTATGTTTTAAAAGTTGGTTTGCTTATGTTCTAAATTTTCCTATAATCTAAATTTTTTTCCTAAATTCTAAAGTTTTTCTTATGTTCTAAATTTTTTCCTATATTTTAAATTATTTTTTCAGCTTATGTTTTAAATTTTTTTTCTATATTCGTTATTTTTTCAATTTATGTTCTAAATTTTTTCCTATGTTCTAAATTATTTTTCATATGTTTGTTTGTTTATGTTCTAAATTTTTCCTATGTAGTAATTTTTTTTTCCTATATTCTATATTATTTTTTCAGCTTATGTTCTAAATTTTTTCCTATGTTTTAAATTATTTTTTCAGCTTATGTTCTAAATTTTTTCCTATGTTCTAGATATTTGTTTTCTTATGCTTTAAATTCTTCTTCTTGTTTTTTTTTTTGGTTGTTGTAAATAGGTGCGTAGTCCTGGAGTTGATATAAATATCCTATGTGTTGCCCCTAGACATGCTACGCGAGAGGTAAGATATAACTTTTGTCTGCTTCTATACTTTTTCCATTATTTTTTGCTACTTTAGTGCCCCTTAACTTGTTATATTTTACTGGATATAGGAAGATTTCTTCGAAGAACTCCATTAGATGCTTTCTGAGATGCCTGAGGTTACAAAGTTGCACCCTGTGCCTGATGCTTTTGTCCCGGTGATGAGATTTAAGTTCAATGGGGTGTCCATAGATCTTCTTTATGCAAAATTGTCGCATTTGAGTTTCTACATTGCATGTGATTGTTTTCCTCGGCTTCTATGGGAGGGTGTTGATTTATATTAAAAACCTATTAGCTCAAGTGGTAGAGCACTATGCAAATGCATAGTTGATATAGGTTCGAATCCTACATAGGCAATATTTATAAATAACTATATAAGAAAAACTTTAGAAAATAGGTAGTAAAAGTTTAGAACATAAAAAAAAAAAAAAAAAAAAAAAAAAAAAAAAAAAAAACTTTAGAACATAAGTAGACTGAATTTAGAACATAGGCAAAAGAATTTTGAACATAGGAAAAGAATATTTTAAACATAGGAAATAAAAACCGTTAGAACATAGGTAGAAAAAATTTAGAATATAGGAAAAAAATAGAACATAGGTTGAAAAAATTTAGAACACAGGAAAAAAAAACTTTAGAACATAAGTAGACTAAATTTAGAACATAGAAAAAAAAAATTTGAACATAGATAAAAGAATATTTAGAATATAGGTAAAAGAATATTTAGAACGTAAACAAAAAAAAAGAAAAAAAAAAGAAACTTTAGAACATAGGTAGTAAAAATTTAGAACTTAGGAAAAAAAAACTTTAGAACATAAGTAGACTGAATTTAGATCATAGGCAAAAGAATTTAGAACATAGGTAAAAGAATATTTAGAACATAAGAAGAAGAAAAAAAACTTTAGAACATAGGTTGGAAAAATTTAGAACATAGGAAGGAAAAAAAAAAAAAAAAAAAAAAAAAAAAAACTTTAGTATATAAGTAGACTAAATTTGGAACATAAAAAAAAAATTAGAAAATAGGTAGACTAGATTTAGAACATAAGAGTAGGCAAAAAAATTTAGAACATAAAAAAAGAATTACAGAAATGCCATTACTAAAGGATGGTTTTAGATGGTTGGATCAAAACTAATAAATGGTTGAGATTGGTTCTTATATAAGATTGAGTTCTTATATAGAGGAGGGTTCTTACATGAGCCTTCCTCTCTCTCTCTCTCTCTCTCTCTATATATATATATATATATATATATATATATATATATATATATATATATATATATAATGAATAATATTTAATTCTTACTACTGATAATAATTACCTGGAGGAGGCTTTGGAAAATTTAAGCTCGGATTACTTATTGTATCAAGGAAAATTCTGGAATCATGAGCGGATCCCTCCCAACCAGTTAGTACATACGTAAAAAGTAAATCAAAGTCACAAGCTGCTAATACATTAAGGGTAGGTGTCCCTTTCCTTCCTCGGTATCGCAATTGGTCTTCCTCAGGAACAATTACATCTATATGAGTACCATCAATAGCTCCAATGCAATCCTAATGTGACCAACATCAGTACTAAATTAGTGTAAATTTCATTGATATGAGATAAGAACAACAATATCTAAAAAAATTGTTACCTTAAAGTATGGCATATATCGCGTATCATTAGCAATTTGGTTAGGAATCTCCTTGAATTCGGGATCTCTCGGTCTTAAAATATCCCTTGACAAACCCTGTGTTGCATCTAAAACTTCTTTAAAAACTCTACTTATGGTTTCTCCGGAATGTTGGAATCGTTCTTGAGCTTCTCGATTCGATGCTCCTATACTAAGCACATATAGAAATATACCCAACTTCTCTAGTGTTGACATTCTCTCTGAGGGAAGCAACCCATACTTATTTTCCAAATCAAAGGCTAATTGCCGAAAAGTATTCTTAGTCATTCTAAACATGTTAAAACAACGTTTTTCATGTCCATTTAATATTTCATGAATCCATCTTTCTCCGGTCCTATAAGAAGTGAAGCATGGCTCCTTATGTATGTATTTTACATAATAAAGAGAAATATAACCCAATGCACAAGCCACCGAGTCCCAAAACAAATTATTTCTACGCCTCTTACGTATTGCATTACGTTTAACATGCAAGTCCATACCTATAAACAACCAAGAAATATATTTGTGATAAATACAACAAAATATGAACACATAAATAATTAACACATACATATGCTATTTTCCATGTACCATCTAAAATGAGCATAATTCATACAAAAAAAATAAACCATGCTCATGAACTACTATCCAAAAAATCATGAGACAAGCACATACATACATATGCTATTTTCCATGTACGTAGTATCTTGTACTTAAACTTACATTCCGATAACAAAAGTAGAAAATAAAACTACCTAGTTAATACTAATAATATCCTACATTTCGATAACAAAAGGCTAATACTTACTACCTAGCTATGTTCCATGATGATCACTCTTTCTTTTCACTCTTGTCATATAAGTATTTTAACCATTGGTATCTTGAGTGATCATCCGGCATACCATCAAGAATTATCCTTTTTTGGGGATCCTCAATTAAGGTGCAAGCAAAGCAAAACTCTTGACTACCGGGTATTAAACCGGGCAACAATACTAACTTGGCCAAAGAATCGGCTACTGAAGAAGAAGAAGAGTCAAGTTTTTGAGATTCAAGGTTCATTAATTCCACGTCCTTCATGTTTCTCTCCGTAACTATCTTCACCATGGCATCTAATTTCTCAAGTAACATTCCAGAGCCCTTTTTTTTCTTTTAGAGCTCTCTGAAACATCATTACATTCAAGCACCCTTTTACTTCCTCTCCTAGTGAACTCATCACATGGTGGAGTAGGAGAATGAGAAGTAGGAGAAGGAGATGGAATGGAGGCATTATCATTCCAAACTTCTTGCCATTCCCTCCTAGATTGGATGTTGTTAAATGCTTCATTCTCACTCATCTCATCATCATATTGAAATGGTACATCACCAACATTAACACTCGGAGGGGAAGGAATGTAAACATCTTCTTTTTCAATTTGAACCGGAGTAAACCTATGCACCCCTTGAGCAACTAAAACTCCAAACAGTTGGTCCATCTTTAACTCCAAATCTGGATCAATCCCTTCATCTTGAAATGCCTTATAATGGGCATTTTCCTATGGAAAAAAAAATCAAAATTGTTTTCCTAACATTGGCAGAATAAAAAATTGGTAAAAGAATTGTTTTCCTAACATTGGCAAAATAATAAATAGGTGAAGGGATGTAAGCTACTAACCTCAATCTTGTTTTTCCACCACTCCTCACTAGCACTTATAGTCCCTTTTTCATGATCCCATCCCAATCCGGTTTCTTTTCCTTTCAAAGCTTTCCAAAGGCTTCATCTACTCCTCATGTGACCCCACTTGTTTTTTAGTTTGTTCTTTTCATACACTAAGTTAGTCTTTTTTTGAAACTCTACCTCTAACACCTTCCATGGCATTCGTTGTGAGGTTGTGGAACCACGCTTACCCTTACTCCTCACCGCAAATTTGATACATAAATCGCAGAACACATGTAAAGTTTCTTTAGACCAATTAGCCCGATTCACCCCACCTTCTGTTTCATCATTGACTCTTTTGTTGTTGGGTGCCATCTATTCATTATAAGACGGCAAAATTTTCATTCAATTGATTTCTACATTAATTTCAAAGATGATAAAACATAGACAAACTATAAAATATGAAATACATAAATTATTCTACCAAAGTAAAGCAATCAAAAAAGTAGAATGCAATTTCCCACTTGAATACAAAACATGTTCTAATCTCATCATAAACTACATTCAAACCTTAACATGAAAATGATCCAATTTTTATTTCCCTACTTTCACAATCAATAAAAAGCACATTAATTCTTGAAAACTGAAAGTAAATCAAATCAAATCACATAACTTACAAATTTTGGCAACAATATAAATAATCCCACTAAATTATCTATGCTAGAGTATAGGAACGAACCTTAATTGGCCCAATAGATAAACTTTGTCAGTAGTCTTCAATACATGATGTATCTGAACCGAAAAAAAAAAAAAAAATCAGATAATTAATAAAATTCCGATGTATAATTTTTTTTTCCTGATATAATACATATATAATTCAGATTAAAAAAAAATAAACGTATATATAATTCAAAAGAAAAAAAATCACATAATTAAAAGCCAAAACAGTTAATAAGGCACATATATAGTTTAATTAAAATTTTTTAAAAAAAAAAACAGAATTGTTCTGGGTAACAACTAACAAGGATTTCGAATTTTTGTTAACATGAGATAATTTTTGGGGAGGAGATAAGGATTGCTAAAATTTGGATTAAAATAGATAATTTCTTTTAACAAAAAAAATGTATGACAAATATAATAAAATAAACTGAAAAACAATAATCAAAACAAAGAAATTAAGGAAGAAAAAATACAAGTTAAGGAAAAGAAATTGATAAAACTAACCTTGATAAGTTGAGAAGCAGATCTGCTATGGAGTGGTGGACGGCTCAGAGAAGAAGTGAGAATACTAATTTGGCTTTGCTTCATTGTATGTCATAGGGTTTACAAGAGGGTAAAATTGTAATTTAATTTCCCCAAAGCAAATCAGCTCTTTGAAAACGTTGGGTTACCCAACGTTTTGGAAAACAGCTTATTGAGGTAAATAAGCTTATTCAATAAGCTTACTACCAAACACTTGTATTAACTTATTTGACTAGTCAATCTGCTAAAGTTGGTCAAATAAGCTAATATATCCCCAATAAGCTAACTACCAAACAAGGCCTATATCTATGATTACACTAGCCTTAATGAAGCTTAAACAACGATCACCCTTCAATCAAACCACAACAACAGCAACAAGCCAACAACTATAACTCTCTTAAACTCCTCTTCTCCGTCTGTCTTGTCACTCTTGTGTGTTGAATGTTAGGATACCATAAAACACTTCTCAAACCTGTGATTAAAATGGGTTAGCCTGTGACTAGCATCACTGTGTACGCTTTCCCCACCTTCTAGGAAGGGTTGAAAAGCTCCACCAATCATATTCTCAGGCCAAGCCAATTAAACTACCCAAAAGTAATGATGTAAAACAAGGGCATCAATTTCATTTAACTAGTTTCATGCTTGGTTCATCTCCGGTTGCATCAATGATGCATATAGCCTGGCATCTCTAAAGAGCATCGAACTAGTCACCTTTGTCAATTGAGTACGGCATTCCTGCACTATATCTCTAAAGCAAACTTCCTTCCTTAATTCTTAGCTAAGTCTGGTGGTAAAAGCTTCCTCCCCTCAGTCTGATTACATTTATCCCACTCAATATTAACATCCTCTGAAAGCATTGAGCAGTAACGAAACAAATTAACCAATCGTCCAATGCTTTAAGTAATAGCAACCCAGATTTGCAACATATAATTTCATGCAGCACATAAACTGGACCAAGTTAATTGTGTATACCACACTCACTAAAACAATAAACATAGGAAACAGTTGAAATGCATCACCTTTAAACAAGTCTGACATTTGGTTAAAATAGTATAACTTGTCTTGGAAACACAATCAACCAGATTCTGGAAAAATATTTATGTAAATTTTCCCATATTTTGTTGCCAAAACAGTTACCAAGACACCCTTTTAAGAGCAAATTGTCCAACATGTGAGCTGACTAATAATCCATCCAGTACAATGTATGAGTATTTTTATTCTCTTTTGCCTTGTTCTACTTCATTTTATGGGACAAACTATTTCACCCCTTTAATTAATAAAAGAAAAAATTGATGGGAATAATCCCACCTTTTGAGCGTCGAAGATTAATAATCCCATCTTAGGGATTCTTTTTAATAATCACACCTTTGATATCAATCCGCTCAAAATGGTCCCCAATGACCAGTAATCGGTTAAAGAGGTAATTTTTTTTATTTAGTTTATTTTACACGTGTCACAATTTGATTTGTCCAAAATTATAAAAAAAAAAAGAAAAGAAAAAAAATAACACCACCTAAGCTACACCAAAGCCACCACCAACCAAACCAAGACATCAGAACCACCACCCCACCACACAGACCCAAAACCACCGTACTGCAATCCACCCCAGCCAACCCAACCCCAAAACCACCTTCAAAAAATCAAAAACCCACCAAACCCAAAACCACCTTCAATAATCGAAAAACCCACCAATCGGCCTGAATCGATGCCGGGGAAAAGGGAGGGAGACCGAGATCGGGACGGGAGAAGGGGGAAGGGGAGGGCTCGGGATTGGGGCAGAAAAAGGGTTTTCGAGGGTTATGGGATGGTTGGTTTTCATGGCGGTGGAAGGGAGGTTGGTGGTTCGGGGGAGGCGGAGAGGGGGCGTTGGTAGTCGGGGAGTCGATCTGGGCGGTCGGCGTTGTGGGGCAGGGGACATTGGCGGCAATGAAGGCGGTTGTGGGAGGCGGGGAGGGTGGCTGGACTAGGTGGGTGGTTTTTTTGAATTATTCAATTTTTTTTCCTTAAAAAAATTAAACTTTTTTTTTTTCTGCCGGTTGGGACCATTAGGATCGGATAAAGTATAAAGGTGGGATTATTTAAACATATGTCAAAGGTGGGATTATTAATCTCCGACGCTTAAAAGCTGGGATTATTCCCATCAATTTTTCTTTAATGAAAAGGAATAAAGTGAGACTACAAATGGTCTCAGATAAACTTTTTATTAGATTTTAGTCATTTGACCACACATGAGTAAGGTGGGTAGTTTTTTTAGCATAGGAAAATAAGAATGGATTAAAAGATATTGGGTACATAGAGTACTGAGTAAGAGAGAATGTAAGAGAAAGATAGCTAGTCGAATAGTCCACGTAACATAGGTTGAAGAAGTAAATCTTCCAGTTTAAGTAACATAAAGATTGTTTGTGAACATGCGATGCACAAAGATTATTTGCGGATTGTATAAGACAATACGTTTGACATTCAAATTTTCAAGCACAACTTCCATTCCATTATCAAAACAACTTGTTTAAGAAATATATACAAACAATCAATAGAATTAAAAGAAAGAAACAAGTAGCAATATGAACAAATTATATATTGCAATCCATCAAATGCAATTAAAGTTCATTTTTACTCTCTCCATTCCAAATTAAATGTATCAATTGATCTTTTATACTTTTATCATGCATCACTTTCACCATAACTTTTTACCAATATAGAAAAACAAATCTTAGCATAATAAGATTTTTTTTTAGATTCATATTAATATATAGTTTAAACAAACCAACTTTTCAACTTAAAATAAAGATATTAATTGTTCTTCAAAAAAAATATCAATTGTCAAACTTGTATTTTTTGTCAAATGTGTTACTAAACTAACGCTTTTGTTTTGTAATAAATTGAAATTTTATTATTTCCCCTGACAACAAACATATAATAAAAGAATACAAAGACAGTTGAGAAACTCACAAGTTTACCTTGGGGATATGTTGGAGAAGGTGCCAATCTTGTCCATTCGGCTTCTCATATCGCTCTTTCAGATGTGGACAATTCCAGATATAAAGATTCTGTAAAGAGGTAAGGCCTAGTAATGACTGTGGAAGTGATGCCAATTCTAGACATTTAGAGATATAAAGCTGACGAAGCAAGAAGAGGTCGCCCATCTCTTCTGGGAGTTGTGTCAACTTCTCAAGATTTGAAAGTTCAAGTTCTTCGAGGATAGAGAGATTCCCCATTGTTATACTTTCCAAGCTTTTGCAGCCCCGAATTTTGAGATGTTGAATGGAATTTGAAGATTCTATCGTAAAACTTGTCAGTTCCTTGCATCCGCGTATCATTAAATATTGTAGATTAGATAGCTTACTACTGATTGCCAAATAAGTTGGTCCATCTTCAATTGCAGAAATTACCGCATGTTTTAAACAAGTGAAAAGTGTTGATGAAGATAAAGATGATGAAGATGCTTTTTTATCATCCATTGACATCAGATTCGATTCTAACACCTTCCAATTAATTTCTTTCACCTCCAAAAACTCTAACTTTGGTGCTAGAGGCATTGATGTCAACTTGAGGCACTCACCTAATGTCATTCGCCGAAGACGAGGAAACGACAATTGCCTTGGCTCACCATCATCATTCATAGCTGGTCTTGTCCATCCCTTTAGAGATCTTAATGAATAGATATACAAGGTCGTTAAGGATGGGAAGTAATCAATTTGGGCTCCAGAACCACACTTTCCACCTCCACTTACCCAGATGTCATCTTCATCTTCTACATACTCCAAGTCATCAAACGAACATAAAACAAGTTCATTGAGACAAGGCAGCTGACTTAAATGAGGAAGAACTCTGCAATTACTGCATCCCCCAATACGAACGAAAACAAGCTTAAATAACCCATCTAACCATCTACGTGGCATCTCAACTCCTTTGTAGTCATGAACTCCAATATCTTTGAGATTTGGAGGCAATTGCAAGAACATTAACATTTTATCCATTTCACTTAAATTAGGAGTAACTTCTATGGCTTCGAATTCAAAGTCAAGACTAGTCAATAGCTGATTATCCTTTAAATTTGCCCTTTGTGCTTCCACAACAGCATCACTTCGCCACTTGCTAAATTTAATAACCAACTCACAAATATTCAAGGGTGGCAATGAATCTATACCATAGCTTTTCCCAACTACAAATAGATCCAACTCTTTCAAAGATGTCATTTTCCCAAATCCTAATGGCAAATCACTCAAATCACTCTCAGCCATTGCCAAGTGCCTCAGGTTGTCCAATTTACAAAAATCCCTTGGCAGCTCTGTAAGAGAGTAACAACCAACAAGCTTCAGTGTTTGCAGGTTTTGTAATCTGGTTATGTCATCAGGAAGACATTTAATACCACCATTTTCTGCAAGATTAAGGTACCTTAGATGTCTCAACATCCCTAAAAATTTTGGGACCACAGAGAAATTCATACCCGTTAAGTCCAAGACACGCAGAGACTGAAACTTCAAAATCACTAATTTAAGAGATGATGCTTTTATAGTACATGTAGGATAAGAACTAGATAGTATCAATGACCGCATCTTCCTAGCAGCAAGCAATGACACCGGAGCTTCCCATCCATCATCTTCTGGCTCTTTTATTTTAAAACTCACATGCATAAGTCCATCAGTAGCAGATATTTGGTCTAAAGGCTCAATCAGTTTCATCTCTTCACCAGCTATATCTTGAGCCAAATCATGCACTAAATCGTGCATTTTGCAGCATATGACGTTCCCTTCATTATCTTCATTTGGATCTTGAAATAAATTCCTCCCTAACAACTCCAGAAAATATTGTTCTCCAGTATCTGTGCTTGATGGATCAAAATATCCTTGCGCCATCCACAATTTAACTAATTCATTTTTCTTATATGTGTAATTCTTTTCGAACAATGAACAGTAAGCAAAGCATTGCTTTAATGCCGGTGGCAAGTAATCATAACTCAACTTCAAAACTTGCATTATGTTGTTGTCTTCGTTCCTCTTTGCCTTCGAGAGTCGAGCATTTCTAATCCGTTGCCAATGTCTCTCGCTATTTTCAGAGTAGAGAAGGCTTCCAACAACCCTGATAGCAAGGGGAACATTTCCACAGCTTTCAACGATCTCCTTCCCAAGCTGAGTCAAAACAGGATTAGTCTCTTCGTGCCCCAATCGGAATGCAAATTTTTTGAAAAGATTCCAGGACTCCTCTTCAGCTAAAAGTCCTAGATGGTGGGCTTCAGTTGTCCCAACAACTTTTGCAACATTTGCAGAGCGTGTTGTTACAATTACTCTACTCCCACTTGCACCGCATTCTAGCAAACTTAGGAGATCCAACCAACTATCCCGACTATAATCCCATATGTCATCCAAGACAAGAAGATACTTCTTATCCTTAATCGAATCTTGGATGCCTGATTTAACCTGACCAACTAACGGACTATAAGAATCTGTGTCACCGGTTAAGGATTGGTAAACTCGCCTCATTACAATGCTTTGATCACCTACCTCAGGTACACAGGCCCATGCAGCAAGATCAAAATGTTTCTGAACATTCTCATCGTTAAAAACCAGTTGAGCAAGAGTGGTTTTTCCGAGACCCCCAAACCCCACAATTGGAATCACAGTAATCTTATTCCCATCATCATAACTGGGATAAAAAAGCATCCCAATAATAATGTTTTTCTCAGTTTCCCTACCAATGACATCATCTGCTTTCACAAAAGAGCCAGTTTCCCTATTCCTAAAGAAACGAGTCCCTAATAGTTGTGATTCATCTCTACGATCATAGGCAGGCAAGTTCAAGCCAGAAACATCTGATTTGATTTCATAAAGTTGTTGTCGAATAGACTTGATTTCTCGAGATATTTTCCAGTTAAAAGAAAGAGTACCAGATCTCGAGAAAGAAACACAAACCTGCTTGTTAACCTCCACCTGCTGTTGTTTCTGGCGGTCAATAGTGAGGACAAGATCAAACAGGTCATCAGCTTGGTAAAGTACCATCCTCAGCCTCCGAAGCCACTCCATGACAACGTCACTGCCATTCTCTTCCTAGTGCCTCTCAGCATCACGAACTCGAGCTTGGATCATCCTGATGGTGTTCTCCAGCTTTTTCAAATCGGCTCGTGCACCCCACCAGGATGCAGCCTCTTTTAAGTCTGCTCCACCCAAAGTTTCCAAGGCTTTTGCAGCTAAGTTAGAAACAATTCCCTCCGCCATTTTTGCTTACTCTGAGCTCTCTCTTTTTTTCTTTTTTTTTTTCTTTTTTTTTTTTTTTGTGAATGATTAATGAGTTACAGACTCGGCTTTTTTGTATCAATATCAAATAAATTACCCAGCACTCCAGCAGTGCTTTTTATCGAAATTGTAATCATAAACAAATCAGAAATTAGTTGTTTGGTGATCTTCACAACGGGAACTGTGAAGTGCCAGACATTTACCATGTGCTTAGATATTAAAAAAAAAATACAATATTCATCTAAAAACTAAAACAAAACATTTGCGTAAAAAGAAGAAATTTTGATCAATTGAAAAGATTATAGTTTTATGGGACAAACACAAAATGGTACATTCAAGTTCACTGCACTATGCAAACAAAAGAGTTCAAAAGTAAAGATATTTTCTAAGTAGTGCCCCGTTATTAGAGGTGTCAAAAGCACATTCAACCCGACCCGATCCAAAAAATATCCGATTTAGATTTGGACTCGCGTGAACCTAACAATTTAGTATGACTTAACTTAGACCCAACCCGACCATATTAGACCCGATCCGATCATCCGAATTGACACCCCTACCCATTACTCCAATAGTACGAGTATTTGGTTTTCCAAGCCGTGACTATTATTTAATGTTGTAAGAAATATGACTTATATGAAAAATGTCAGTGACATGACAATTGTTCATTGCTCTAAAATAATTAAGCGACTTATCTGGTAAGTGATGGTGTTCTCCAGGTTCTTCAAATCGGCTCATGCACCCCACCAGGCTTATTGTTCCAGCAATGTTAAAAACAACTCCCTCCGCCATTTTTTTCTTCTTTGATTTATACTTCTATTCCTAACAATACATAGGTTTAAATTATTATTATTATTATTATTATTATTATTATTATTATTATTATTATTATTATTATTATTATTATTATTATTATTATTATTATTATTATTATTATTTGTTTTTCTTTTTAAAGAAGAAACTAGTTTGGCTTGTGAAGAAAGAGCGAAATTCACTGTTGACTGTTCCTTCCCAATCCAAATACACATGAAATGCAGTTTAAATCAACTCAAAATTTCAAATGCTGATACATGATGGCATGATGCAATCCTACACTAACCTAACCAGGAAACTCTGATTTATCCCTAAATTAACAAGTTAAATAGTTTTGTTCATAATTGAAAGAAAATTTCAATTAAACCCATTATCCAAAATCCAATATAACAGCTGAATCAAATCCGATATCAATCAAAATACTCCATTAAAAAGACAAACCTTGATTAAAAACAACATCGGCTTTATTCTGCAACGGAAGCATTGAAGACGGCATTAACGGCAAGAAGAGCTGACTCAACACAAGCAGCACAGGTCATACCACCAACACTGACTTCAATTCTCCGAGAATTAACCAGAATTGCCCAAATTTCATATACCCAGTTAACAATGTTGCCGTAAATTTCTCAAAAAAAGCTGAAATTGGGGTGTTGATGTTGTTTCAGCATTTATTAGGTTCGGATTTCAAGTTTTCTTAAAAATGTTTTGTGAACCTGAAAATTTTGTGTCTCTTGGTGACTTTGGGTCTAAAAACTCTAAATATGTTGAACCAGGGTTGCCTGGTTATACTCGCTAAGAGGTTTGTTTAGCCTGGTTTGACTCAAGCCAACTCGACAAATGTTTATTCCAGCCATATTTTATTATACTACCCTCGTTAATTTTTAATTGCCCTTTTATTTATTATTTATTATACAAAATAATCCTAATTTAGAAATTTATCTCACTGAGATTAATGCGTGTTATTTAATTAAAAAAAAAACTAATTATGATTAGCTTTGGAAAAAAATATATTACGAAGTACTAAAAAGAAAAACCACCCACCCAGCCACCATATCCACCCTCATCTCCTACCAGATGCAGCAAACACCAACTCCACCCTAATCTAAGCCACCGAACCCCCTCATCTAAAACACCAACCTCCCACCCAAACCGCGCGAACCATCGCATGACCTCCACCCTTTCTTCCGTCTAGACTCGAACCCTAACTTCATCTTTCTCCTCTGACCATTCCTTCTTTGACCTTCGATTATCGCCGCTTCACCGTGGCGTTGGTTTTGGTCGAGGAGGGTTGATGGGTTTAAGGTTTGAGGTTTCGATTCTGGTGGGGATTGAGGTAATTACATATTCATATTACTAGATTTACCAGTAAGAGTAATTTTTCCTACATAGCTCTTAATTTCTCACTTAGACCACTTTTAACCAAACAATCACTTCGTATATTATTTTTTTTTACTCCAAAGCAGACAAAATGAACCACTTATGAAAATATGATTATAAATACTACCTCCGTTTCATTTAATTTACAACGATTTGACATAAATTGTGAATATAAAATGTCTAATCGTTGCAAATAATATGAAATAGAGATAGAGGTAACATAGGATAATGCTTTTCCAAGAACAAATTTCATGATCTTTGATTACTCCTAACTTGCTTGCCAAAAAGTTTATTGCATTGCAGAGCAATTTAATTACTCCAAATATTCACTCTACTATTAAGGTTGAGTAGCAAGCTATCTTAATTCCTTGCCTCTTTGACTTGTTCAGACATTGAGGGTTTTTATTTTTTTTTAAAAAAAAATATATATATATATATTTTTTTAATATTCCAGCTCGACATTCACTTTAAGTTTGGGGATGCAGACAAAATATAATTACAAAAAAAAAAAAAAAAAAAAAACACATTGAATTTCATTTTATATTTTTGACAAAAAGAGTAGCATTTTATTAATTACTCAAAACTTGATAAATCAAGGAGAACATCAGAGATTTTACAGTAGGTGAAATTTATTCAAGCCAAACTCTCATTTCAGCATACTCTTTACTAATGTGGGCTAAACTTATGAAGTTATGAGCAACTTTATTTCCCATTTTATCCACATGAGAGATATCAAAAAAAATAAACAAGACCTTGCAAGGAATAGAATGTCCTTCACTATCAGACCAAAGCTAGAACTCTGACATTTTTAGTTCTTCAAGTGCTGAAATAATTTCAGACTATCAGTTTCAAACGTTACCCTCCGGAACCCAGCATCAAGAGGCAAGAGCAATAGCGAGGGAGTGTCTGGCAGCCAAGGCTTCGCCAACATCAACATCAAAACCATCCTGCAACCTCCAGCCAGTAGATAGCATAACATCACCAACATAATCGCGAACAACTCCACCCAAACCAGTAGATTTATCTCTGAAACAAGCAACGTCCACATTAAATTTCATTTTTAAAAACAAACATTGTTATAAAATATAAAATGCACATAATCATCTAAATAAATTGTCCATCTTTTATTCCAAAAATAAACTGGCTATGCATTACAAATTAACTCCTTTTAGGCTTTTATACAATACACACCCCCTGAAAGCATCCAGCTAATAAAAATACAATTAAAGTGTGCTCATTGTTGCAAGACTACTTGCAAGTTGTAAGAGTTGCAACTTAAGCTTTGTTCTTATACTTAAATATTGTATACAAATCACCCCCTCTTATTCACTCAGGTACTCAATCACACACACAATCATTACGAAGTATTAAACTGCTAAGACCATTCATCAAATATTTAAGAAATAGTGTCATCGTACCAGGAAGGCAGCAATCTGCTAAGACATAAAACTAGACGAAAATAAACAATCTTTTTGTTACAAACAACTTGACAGTAAAACTAAACATACTCACTGTTTCACAATGTACAAAAAATATAGCTAAAAAGGTAATATAATAATTATAATTATAAAATAAAATCAGGCTACATCTCTCCTTTCAGTACAACATACAATCAAATTCTGAGAAGCAAAGAAATGCAGGGCCAGCAGACTTCTAACAAAACAAATACAATGTGCTCAAAGTAAGCGAAAAGAATACAAGGAAGAAATTAAGAGGAGAAATTTTATATCTCTGACCTGTAAACTGGACAATTTGATCTACTTATTGCTGTATCTTTTATAAAATCAATGGTTAGATCTTAAAAATTTCACAATGTATCATACATTCAATAATATTTGTTGCCTCGTTCTAAACTCTGATAAACTACGAGTATAAAAAAGAAAAAACTAAATAAATAAATAACAACGTAGAATTAAGAAATAACAACATAAGCAATTTTTACAACACGGAAAAACTCTTCAATTTGAAGAGTTAAAACCACGGGACTTGAAAGGAGTGCAACCTTTCTTCTCTTACTATGATTTGTTGATGGTAACAAACCCAAAAACATGTTTCACAAAGGTTCACAGCAACTTCATACATAAGATAACAGCATTTAATGGACAAAGATGGAAAATGTCACCAGATAACAGAGTTCTGTTCAGCTGAATTTTCCAACCGGAGCTTGTATCTATTATTACACTAGCCTTACTGAAGCTCCATATGACCCCAGCAATCTAAACAATTTTCAGCACCATTAAGCCACGATTACCCATCAATCAAACCACAATAGCAGAAACAATTTTTAGAACCATTAAACCACGATTAACCATCAATCAAATCACAATAGCAGAAACAATTTTCACTTTTTCAGTACCATTAAAATCCTCTCCTCCGTTTGTTTTGTGAGTTGAAATTTAGGTACCACGAAACACTTTCTAAACCTTCCTTTAGAATCACCAAATTAAAGCGGGTTAGCCTGTGATTAGCATCACTGTGTAAGCTTTCCCCACCTTCTAGGAAGGGTTGAAAAGCTCCACCAATCATATGCTCAGGCCAATCCAATTAAACTACCCGAATTTATAAATGTAAAACAAGGTCCTCAATTTCTTTTCACTTGTTTCATGCTTAGGGTATTTCCGGTTGCATCAATGATGCACATAGCCTGGCATCTCTGAAGAGCATTGAAATAGTCACCATCTTTGCTTGAGTTCAGCATTCCTGCACTACATCTCAAAAGCAAACCTCCTTCCTCAATTCCTAGCAAAGTCTGGTAAAAGCTTCCTTCCCTCAGTCTGATTACATTCATCCCAATCGATACTCAAATCCTATGAAAGGATTGAATAATAACAAATTCTGATGTATCAAGGAGGACGAGTAGTAAGATGTGCATAGCACTTATAAAGGAGCTCTGAAGCTGTATACAAGTTGAAGCTGGATACATGCTTCATAATTAGACAACATTACAACAATTTCAAAAATCTATAGTAGGATACTTGAAAAATTTTGTATGTACAATGTCACGAGAATAAAACACAAGATTTACAATTCTACATGCACAAAATCTGACTTAGTGTGGCACAAGGATACATGTGCAGAGAAGAAGCTAAGGTAATTACATATTCAAATTACTGACTTTACTAAAAATAGAGGGTTTTTTGTTTCTACAATAGCTCTTAATTTCTCACTTAGATAAACAACTTAGAGAAAAGTAATCTATTGTACAAGTTAAAGTAAAAACTCAGAATATTAATCAATACTCGTAGAATTCAGTTCATAAAAGGTAGTAGGCTATAATTTCAGATAATTTAAGCTTACAGGATCACCTGAGTGAGTTGATAGCATGGATTAGTTTTCCTCTGATTTGAGGCTACAATTTAAAGTAGGAACCTGCTGTGACCAACATAAAGGAAGAACTGCAATAAACAATAGCATTAGTTTCAGGAAACAAATCTACACAAAAAGCCAAACGGCAAAATAAGTAGGGAAATAATGCAATATAGCTACATCGGATAATGATAATGATAACTCCTGCTTGGAAGTACCTGATGAGAAGCTTACAGCAGCATGGAATTGTCTGTCACGGAATTGTTGTAACATTATTCATCCATTCTGGTAATTTAACAGACCAGATAAAGGAGGCAGACTTGATTTGGTTAAGTCAAGAAGCTTTTGCTGTCCAATTGTGAAGATAAAATTAGAAATCATTGATCCTTAACCAAAAACACAATGCTTATAACTAACAGAGAGCCAGATTTGTAACATGTTTTTTCATGCAGCTCCATTTGAAGCCCATACATCACGTAAACTGGACCAAGTTAATTGTATATACTGAAGCTATATATGCCAGATGAAATCCTTAATGATTACTTGATTATATACCACACAAACTCATCAAAACAATAAACATGAGAAACAGTTGGAATGCATAACCTACAAGCAAGTCTGACATTTTTACAAATAGTATAATTTGTGTTTAGGATACACATTGTGCATCAACCAGTTTCTGGAGAAGTACTTTTGTAAATATTCCCATCTTTTTTACGAAACACCCTTTTAAGAACAAAATGTCCAACATGTGAGTGGTGAGCTGACTAATAATCCATCCATTAAGATGTAGGAGTATTTTTATTCTCTTTTGCCTTATTCTATTTCAATTTATGGGACGATTACCATTTCACCCCCTTTAAATAATAAGAAGGAACAAATTGAGATAACAAATACTCCTTTCAGCCTGAAATAATCTTTTTACTAGATATAAGTCATTTGACCACACAATTGTGTAAGTTGGGTAGATTTTTTTTTTTTTTTTTTTTTTTTTGGAACGTAGGAAAAAAAGATAGTGAGTATATAGAATATGAAGAGAGAGTGTAAGAGAAAGATAGCTAGTCAAAAAAAAAAAAAACACATAATACTATAAGATTGTTTGTAAACATGTGATGCACAAAGATTATTAATTGAAGTTCATTTTTACTCTCTCCGTTCCGAATTAAATGCATCAATTGATCATTGTACTTTTATTATGCCTCACTTTGACCATAACTTTTTACCAATATAGAAATACAAATCCTAGCATAATAAGTTTTTTTTAGATTCATGATAATATATAGTTTCAACAAATCAAATTTTCAACTTAAAATAAAGATATTAATTTTTCATCCAAAAAAAAAAGATATTAACTGTTAAACTTGTATTTTTTTGTCAAATGTGTTACTAAACCTATCGTATTTGTTTTGTAACGAAGGAAAACTTTTATATCCTTGACAACAAATGTCATCACATATAATAAAAGAATACAAAACCAGTTGAGAAACTCACATGATAACCTCGGGGATATGTTGGAGAAGGTGCCAATCTTGGCCATTCGGCTTCTCATATCTTTCTTTCAGATTGGGACAATCCTTGATAGAAAGTTTCTGTAAAGAGGTAAGGCCTAGTAATGACTGTGGAAGTGATGCCAACTCTGGACATTTTTTAATTTTAAGCTTACGAAGCAAGGAGAGGTTGCCCATCTCTTCTGGAAGTTGTGTCAACTTCTCGAGACGTGAAAATTCAAGTTCCTGTATAGAGGTAAGGCCTACTAATGACTGTGGCAGTGATGCCAATTCTGGACAATTTTCAATATAAAGCAAGGAGAGGTTGCCCATCTCTTCTGGGAGTTGTGTCAACTTCTTGAGATTCGAAAAAAAAAGTGTTTCAAGGACAGAGAGATTCCCCAAGGTTATATATTCCAAGCTGTTGCAAAAATGAATTGAGAGACATTGAATGGAATTTGAAGATTCTATCATCAAACTTGTCAGTTCATTGCATCCGCTTATCCTTAAATTTTGTAGATTAGAAAGCATACTACTGATTGTCAGATAAGTTGGTCCATCTTCAATTGCAGAAATACTCACATCTTTCAAAGAGGTGAAAAGTTTTGATGAAGATAAAGATGATGCTATTTCATCATCAATTGACATCAGATTTGATTCTAACACCTTCCAATTGAAATGTTGCACCTCCAAAAACTCCAACTTTGGTGCAAGAGGCATTGATGTCAACTTGAGGCACTCAAATAATCTCATTCGCTGAAGACGAGGAAACAACAATTGCCTAGTCTCACTATCATCATCCGTTGCTGGTCTTGTCCACCCCTTTAGAGACCTTGAATCCCAGATTGTCAAGGTCGTTAAGGATGGGAAGTAACCATTTTGGGCTCCAGAACCACACAATTCACCTCCACTTACCCAGATGTCGTCTTCATCTTCTACAAACTCCAAGGCATCAAGCTTATATAAAGAAAGATCATTGAGATAAGGCAGGCGACTCATATAAGGAAGAATTCTGCAATTACTGCAATCATCAATACGAATGGAAACAAGCTTAGATAACCCATCTAACCATCTACGTGGAAACTCAACTCCTTCGTAGTCATCAACTCTAACATCTTTAAGATTTGGAGGCAGTTGCAAGAACATTAACATTTTATCCAGTTCACTTAAATCAGGAGTAACTTCCATGGGTTGAAAGTTTAACTCGAGACTAGTCAATAGCTGATTATCCTTCAAATTTGCCCTCTGTGCTTCCACAACAGCATCACTTCGCCACATCCTAAAATTAATAAGCAACTCACAAATATTCAAGGGTGGCAATGAATCTATACCACAGCTTTTCCCAACTACAAATTGATCCAACTCTTTCAAAGATTTCATTTTCCCAAATCCTAATGGCAAATCACGCAAACCACTCCAAGCAATTTCCAAGTGCCTCAGGTGGTCCAATTTACAAAAATCTCTTGGCAACTCTTTAAGAGAGGAACAGCTGACAAGCTTCAGTGTTTGCAGGTTTTGTAATCTTGTTATGTCATCAGGAAGACATTTAATACCAATATTTCTTGCAAGATTAAGGTACCTTAGATGTCTCAACTTCCCTACAGAATTTGGGACCACGGAGATTTCCATATTCTCTAAGTTCAAGACACGCAAAGACTGATATTTCAAAATCACCAACTTCAGAGATGATGCTTTTATAGTAGTACATACATACTCAGATCCAGACAGTAGCAATGACCGCATCTTCCTAGCAGCAAGCAATGACACTGGAACTTCCCATCCATCATCTTCTGGCTTTTTAACTTCAATTCTCAAATGCATAAGTCCACCTGGAGAAGAGATTTGGTCTAAATGCTCAATCTGTTTCATCTCTTCACCAGCTATATCTAGAGCCAAGTCATGCACTAAATCGTGCATTTTGCACCTTTTGACATTCCCTTCATCATCTTCATTTGGATCTTGAAATAAATTCCTCCCTAACAATTCCAGAAAATATCGTTCTCCAGTATCCGTATCTGACGGATCAAAATATCCTTGCGCCATCCACAATTTAACCAAATCATCTTTACTATATTCATAGTCCTTTGGGAACAATGAACAGTAAGCAAAGCATTGCTTTAATGTCGGTGGCAAGTAATTATAACTTAACTTCAACACCTGCATGATGTTATTGTCTTCCTTCCCTTTTGCCTCTGAGAGTCTAGCATTTCTAATTCGTCGCCAGCCTTTCTCATTTTCAGTGTAGAGAAGGCTTCCAACAACCCTGATAGCAAGGGGAACATGTCCACAGCTATCCACAATTTCCTTCCCAAGCTGAGTCAAAACAGGATTATTTTGTTCTTGTTTTGACTGGAATGCAATATTTTTGAAAAGATTCCAAGAATCCTCTTCAGCTAGGAGTCCTAGATTGTGGGCTTTTGTTGTCCCAACCGCTTTTGCAACATTCGCGGAGCGTGTTGTTACAATTACTCTACTCCCACTTGCACCGCATTCTAGCAATTTAAGGAGATCCAACCAACTATCCCGACTATCATCCCATATGTCATCTAAGACAAGAAGATACTTCTTATCCTTAATCGAATCTTGGATGCCTGATTTAATCTGACCAACTAATGGACTATAAGAATCTGTGTCACCGGTTAAGGATTGGTAAACTCGCCTCATTACAATGCTTTGATCACCTACCTCAGGTACACAGGCCCATGTAGCAAGATCAAAATGTTTTCGAACATTCTCATCATTAAAAACCAGTTGAGCAAGAGTGGTTTTTCCAAGACCCCCAAACCCCACAATTGGAATGACAGTAATCTTTTTTCCATCATCATAATTGGGATCAAAGAGCATCCCAATTATAATGTTTTTATCAGTTTCCCTACCAATGACATCTTCTGTTTTCACAAAAGAGCATGTTTCCCTATTCCTCATGAAACGAGCTCTTTGTGGTTGTGGTTCATCTTTATGATCAGTATAGGCATTCAAGTTCAAGCCAGCAATATCTGAATTGATTTCATCAAGTTGTTGTCGAATAGACTTGATTTCTCGAGATATTTTCCAGTTAAAACAAAGAGTGCCAGATCTCGAGAAAGAAACACAAACCTGCTTGTTAACCTCCATTTGTTGTTTCTGGAGGTCAACGGTAAGGACAAGATCAAACAAGTCATCAACTTGGTAAAGCACCATCCTCAGCCTCCGAAGCCACTCTTTGATGGCATCACTGCCATCCTCTTCCCGGTGCCTCTCAGCATCGCGAACTCGAGCTTGAATCAAGTTGATGGTTTTCTCAAGCTTTTTCAAATCGTCTCGTGCACCCCACCAGGATGCAGCCTCTTTTATGGCTGCTTTACCCAAGCCTTCCAACACTGTTCCAGCCAACTCAAAAAGAACTCCCTCTGCCATTTTCTTGTTTTTTTTTTGTAGAATTATTTGTTAGTGTTTCACCCCGTTTCTCTCTGCCTTGCAATTCTTGTCAATGATGACGAAGGATGAACTACATGGACTTTCATTAATGGATAAGCTTTTATGTAAAAGTAGTGTGAAACCAATAATTTTTTTCTCCATAATTGACTAATAATTAACATTTCTCTCTTTTTTACATTTTGAGTAACTAAAAGTAAATATATTTGATGAATATATAAGGAAATATATTATACAACACCATAGGAAGAAATATTTATTTTTTTCAAAGGAATTAATCAATTTTTTATTTATACAGAAGCATTTCCCATTTTTTTTAATACCACTTGTATACTCATAAAAGTAGTAAACCATCTACTTACAATTTTTTTGTTTGACATTTTGTCTATCGAATACGAGTAAACAAATAGGGACAGGGGGAGTAATACTTAAGGAATGAATATCTAGATACGAATATAGTCCTATCTTCTAAAGGAGTTAATCACAGATATGCTGACCTTTATAAAGTGAAGTAGATTTCTTGTTGGCATTTCATCAAACACCTTGCCTGCATTCTCTAGATATGAACATACACTTGCTGCTATTCAATTTTCCTTTTGTAAACCTTAGTACAATTGAACATAATGTACTCCGTAGTATGCATAGTGCTGCAAAATAGTGAATGATGAATGATCTCTTTTTACTAAAGTTTTCTGGATTATATAGAAAACTTTGATTGAATCGAATTCACAATTTTAATTTATTATATTTGAGCAGATGAGAATTGAATACATACTATGTATGGGAAAAGGGTGAATGGTAATAAATAAAGACAGCAGAAATTACCAGAGGATTGATAGTAGATTAGTTGCCGAATCAAGTAGTTTGCCCAAATGAACAAGTAAAATGGCGACTCCAGATAAAAATAATTTAATCATCCTCTACTTAAAAGTGAGATTAATGTGGGACGCTGTTTGTGACCACTTATATTTTGGTGAAAGGTAAACGAAGAGATGGGTTTTTTTACTCTTTTTTGGGTATGCTAGTTGATTGTATAAAACGGTTTGGTAAATAGCTACTCGTAATTGTTAAGGCTTATTCATTATGTGAAATGACCAATAAGTTAATTATGGGGGTAGATAGTTTATTATACTGTTTGGTGGTAGCGTTTGAGGTAGCAGTTAGCGTTTTGACCAGTCAAAACATTACAAGAAAACAATTGAGAGGGTTTGGCAATGTAACGGTTCTAGTAGCGGTTAGCAATACATGTAGCATTTAGGTAGCTTTTTTCAAACGTTAAAAATATTAGCATTTAGAGTAGCGAGTAGCGTTTGACAATTTTTTATTACTTTTTAAACAATGTTTATATGAATTTTGATATATTTCAATATTGCAACCGCTACTTTTGCCAAACATTCATGCTATCAACCGTTACTTTGACAGCTAACCTCTACTCACTACTAATTGACCGTTACTCGCTACTTTAACAGCTACCCGCTATCGCTACTTTTGCCAAACAGGACCTATATAGTATTTTAAATTAAATGGGGGTATAACTGTAATTTTACCATAATAATTCAATAACCTAATTGAAAAGGCTTTTATAAGGAGCTTTTTGAAAAAGAGTTATTTAGTGGAAAAAGCTCTTTAAATAAGCTTTTCACTAAACACCTTATATTAGCTTATTTAATACAGTACTTCGTAGTCAATTAAATAAGGTAATTTTGCTCAAATAAGCTATTTACCAACACAACCAAGGATAATTTATTGTGGGATGCTCCAGAACATGAAGAAAACTTTTTTTAAAGTTAATATATTGTGTGTGTCTATGTATGGATTAAGTAGAATATGGGTCTTAAGGGTTTGTGGGTAGAGCTTGGGGTCTGAAACATTATATCTAAACCTTACCTTACCTAATGATACCTAGACCTAGGGCTGAGCATAACTACCAAAAAAACCGAAAACCCGAAAAACCGATCCGTAACCGTTCCGAAAATTAGGGTACCAGTTTTGATAAGTCGATAACCATAAGTCCATAACAGTTCGGGTACCCGTTCCGATAATTTGTTATCGGGTATAATTATGGGTATCATTTTAAAATTAATGGTTACCCGATCCGATCCGATAAGCATTTTTTTTGCTTTTTGTCCCTACTTAAATCTATTAATATAAATCTAAACTTTTTTTTACTTCATAATCACATTATAATATCAATGATTAGTATTTTTATTGATAATTTGGTCAAGATCATATGGTATTTTTTTAATTAGTTATAAATTATATCATAATAACTGCATAATTAAGTTTAATTATCATTATTGGATATCTTATTGGGCACCCGATAACCGATCCGAAAATCCGGGTACCCGAACTTATCGGATCCAGTTATAGGTATTACTTTTAGTGATTTTAGTTATCGGGTATCCGAACCGTTAGTACTAACGGTACGGATACCCGTCCCATGCTCACCCCTACCTAGACCCATATCGTACCCGTATGCATAGGCAATGGCAGAGCCACTTCGTGTTTCGGCAGGCTCAATGCCCTACCAGATTTTGAATATAATAGTAAATAACTAAATATCCATTTAAATAGAATACAAAGTGTAATATAGTGTTAAAGCTTACCAGCAACCTAATAGTTAAAACATTATTTTGTCTACCAAAGATTATGGTTTCTAATCCAAAAATCTGGCTCCTCAAAATGATTAGAAATGGGATTTTTAATCAGAACCTGCGGATTCCAATTCCACATTTATATATTTTGTACTTTTTTTTGTAAAGTTATTTCAATAAAAATTGAAGGGTCGAAAATTTATAACTTTTACAACTTGCAAATACAACAAATAAAAAATAATTGTTTAGCAAATTGAATACATATATTTATGTATAACTATATTATTTTAATTTATTAAAAATTAGACTCGAATTGAAGTATAATATGGGATTAAATGATAAATTTATCTAGTTTTAGACTACCTTATAGGTTGCGAATCTAAAAAATTGAGAATATGTTAATCTGAATTGGACCCAATTGTAACAGGGTTCGATTTCTAATCAGGAGGGCACAGTATTACACTCATTTATTGCTCATCTTAAGTAGAACTTCCTTACACCGTAGTAAAGCTTAGAATCGTGTCATTTACTCATGTCGTGTCGGGCCGCTACGAGCCGTGCCTCGCCATGCCAAGAGGTAGGTCGTGCCGTGCCGTGCCAAGCCTAGGTGTTGGCGTGCCGTGTCGGGCCACCAAATATCACACCCCAGCCCACGGTACGGGTCACGCCGGGGGCCACATGCCAACACATTATTTTTTATTATTAATTAAATAATTTTAATATTTTTATTATTTATAATTCTTTATATTATGTGGTTCTTTTTATTATTATATTTTTTATTTAATAATTAATTTATTATATTTCTTTTTGTTATTATAGGTCGTGCTGGCGTGCTAAAAGTTCGTGCCGCCCGCGGGTTGTCAGTGGCGGAGCCACATTGTGTTAAGTGGTCCTTTGACCACACTTGAATTTGCTAAATAGAAATTTTCTAGTGTGTGTAAAATTTTGGAATTTGTCATATTTTCTATAAAAAATTGATGATTTGATCCTAAAGAATTCCAACAAATATATTTTGACCCCACTTAATTATATTTCTAGATTGGCCATCGGGGAATTTGGGGTTCATGCTGATTTTTCATTTTTTGTTCACGGCACACCCTACCGCTCACGGCCCACCCCTCGTGTCGTGCCGCTAGCGGGCTTGTGCCATGCCCATGCCCCATGCTGCCTGTGGGCCGGACCGGCAGTAGCGGTTTTATACTTTTATTTGTCACAGACTCACAGAGTAGGAGTAGGAGTAGGAGACTAGGACTCTATCCCTCTAAACAAACAAACTGGATTAGGATTTTAGGAGTACCTTCGTGTAAAACTACAGAGTGACAATTTAAACGAGCACTTCATCTTCTTCCGGCAGAGTGCAGCAGTAGAAATAGAGACAAATTTGCAGAAACAAAGCGTCGGAAACCAGCAAGCAACTCAACCCGTTCAAATGAGCACTTCATCTTCTTCAATTCGAGCATTTGGCGCTGTTCTTCAAAGAATTTCTCCATTAAAATCCCATTCTCTCTCCTCCTCTTCTCTCCACTGTATGTCTCTCATCTTGCGTCTCTCTAATTGCTATGATTTAACCCTTCTAAAACTCGATTGATTAATCTTGTTTTCTCTCTCTTCAAAAATTTCAGGGAATTGCAAGATATGGAGAACTTTTTCATCATCAAGTTTACGGGGTTCACAATTACTACCCCACGATTTATCTCGTCAATGTGATTATCCTAGTGCTTCTGTCAGAACGATTTGGACATCTTCTCCTCTTTGCATGGGTAGACGCTCGTCCAAAATTGCTACTAGAAAGGTATTTACTTTGCTAATCTTTAGTAGTTGCAATTACTCAATTTTGATTTTTTATGGTTGATTATTGTGAGTTTGTGTTTTTTGTTGAAATATGATCAAAATCTTACTTGGGTTTTGCATTTTAGTACATGGTTATGTGAATTTCTTATCAATGTGCTTATTTGATTGACATATGGTGTTGCGTTTAGACTTTGATGTGGTTGCACACCAGTTGTTCGATGAAATGCTTGGCAGAGATCTGGGTCTGAGATTCCATTACATTCCAAAGCCATGGAGTTTAATAGGCTTCTAATATTTGAATTAGTTTATGAATTGATTTGGGCTATGGTACTCTTATGGATTTAAGAAGAAATAGATAAGTAAAATAAGATGGGTATGAGGTGGAAACATCATGGTTTTTTCACTTAAATGTTAGATTGTTAGGTTTAACTAGATCAAATTTGGAACCATTTTGGTTTATTAGCTTTGGATTATGCATTCATTTTCACTGAATTAGAGCGTTGATTCAAATTCACTGACTAAATTAACCCCACGGGATCTTTAATTGTTGGTTTGTAAAGAAAATTCTACTTTGTTAACATCCTTAGTGTGGCTGGAGCTTGAAAAGTATTATTCTGTTATCTTCTATTCTTCTTAAGTGTAGTAGTGGATGTTTTGCAGGGTGCTCAAGATCTAAAGAAGGCAAAGCTGTATGCAAAGATCGGCAAAGAAGTTGTATCTGCGTAAGTGATCCACAATCCTCACCCATGTTTATTGGTAGCTGTAATAAGAAGGTATCTTGATCACTTTTGTCAAGTGAATAGGTATCACTTAGCCTATGTCTAGTTCACCTTATAATTGCTCGTCTGATTTGATCTAAATGAATTTGTTTAATGAATAGTTTTTGTATACATCTGGTGTACAGTAATTTACTGTACATCAGGGTCATGTTTATTAAATTTAGGGTCACTTTTACAATTTTTTGGGTAACTTTTATCAATAAAGCATAAATATTTTGTAACTTTTATTTATGTTAGGGTAACTTTTATTCATATTAGGGTAACTTATGCTCATTTTAGGATAACTTTATAACGGATGTACAATATTTTATTGTACATCCGATTTATTTAAAAGTTTGACGTTAATATGATTTGACTAAACTTTGACTTGGTATGTACACTAAACCATTAGGAAAAAGTACATCAAATGAGGTCTTATTAGATTTGTATTAATGTGTATTTTCCAAATATGGAATTTCATAATTGTTCTTGTACGAAACTAAAGATATTCAACGATAAAAACCGCAAATAAAATTTTAAGGTTGGATCTGAACTTTTTTTTTCCCCTATGATGTTATATGAAATAAGTATAAGGTAATGAAATCAGGTGAACTAAACATAGCCTTAGTGAGTGTGAAGCTAGCTTATTTTGGGACGATAAACTATTTGCTCTAAAATGATGCATGCTTTTGTAATGTCACCTTTTTCCATGTCTTGATTATGAAGTCTTTTATTTCCATTCTGTCTTTAATGTTTTCTGTTAGCGGCATATAGCATATTGTGAAAGAGTAATTGTAATAAGTTGACAAATTTTGTAGTGTGAAGAAAGGAGTTCCAAATCCTGCATCCAATACAGCTTTGGCTGCTGTGTTTGAAAAGGCCAAGGAGCTTGATGTCCCAAAGGAGATTGTTGAGCGCAACATTAAGAAAGCTTCTGAGAAGGGACAGGAGGCCTTTATTGAGAAAGTCTATGAGGTTTTGGTTCATATGCTTATATCTGAAAATGCGTTTGTTCAAATTCTCCTTTTACATTTTGGTTATCATTGAACTTGTTGCTGAACTTTAATTGATCCACTTATATCAGGTGTACGGATATGGTGGGGTTGGCTTTGTTGTCGAGGTTTCAACTGACAAGGTAAACAGATCAGTGGCTGCTGTTAGGGAGGTGGTGAGGGACTGTGGTGGCAAGATGGCTGATTCTGGTTCTGTCGTATTTAGGTTCAAACGTGCTCGTGTTGTAAATGTGAAAATTAGTGATGCTGACAAAGACCAGCTTCTCGGAATTGCCTTGGATGCTGGTGCTGAGGATGTGATTGAACCTCCAGACAATGAAGACGACTCAGAAGAAGATCAGGCAGAGAGGTAGTGTAAAAATTATTTCTCTATGGATTGTTTGTTATTAGAAAGTTAAATTTGTCTTGTGAAATTCCTTGTATTATAATGTTTTCGATTCATTCTAAGCAGGGAACTAGTTTGGTGCATTTTGGATGTGCAATTTGTGCTATTTCCTTATGCCTCCTCACAGTTTGCTATTTCCGCTCTTCTGAGTTCCTGTTCTTTAATTTTCTTCCCAAGAGCAGGTACTATAAAATTGTATGTTCAGCGGGAAATTACTCTTCTATACTCTTAAAGCTCCGTGATGAAGGAATAAGTTTCGAGCCCGATAATGGATACGAGCTACTTCCAGTTTCCCCTATTGAGGTACGATATTAGTTTATAGTAAGTTAATGCCATTTTAATAGCATTTTTTTGTTAAATTAAGTCTCCGTGATCTTATGATTGTGATTCTTATTGGTAAAGGGCCAAATCAACCAAAAGGTTAAGCTGAAGGTTGAGGCCCAGGATTATGTTATATACTTGATCACGCCCCCTCACATGTGAACCCTCCGCATACCTTGTACAAAATATTCCACTTTGAAAGGAGGGGTGGATGAGATTCAAACCCGTGACCTTTGTGTCACGCACTCACGCTGGCTCTTGATACTATGTTAATAGACCAAATAAACTTTTACTTACCTTGGTGCATAATTCTAAATGGCGGAATCTCAGAAGAATCAACTTCTGTAAATGCAATAAATTTGCTGTCCAGTGACCACCAATAACCATTCTTGCGATCCATTTAGGACCACCAGTAAGCTAATGGTTGAGGCTCAAGATTATGTTCTATACTCTATCACTTATCTCAAATTTGTTTTGTTGAAATTAGAAATTGTGTTGAGGCCCAAGATTATGGTAAACACTTGGTTTCTGTTATATACTCTATCACTCACTTATGGTTAAGGCCCAAGATTATGGTAAACACTTGGTTTATTTCTTCACACATCCCTTGTACAAAATCGATTAGCCAATCATGCACAACTTGCATTGAAGACTGTCCACACAGAATTGTTTGAGGGTGTTGCTTCAATAAACTAGCCTAAGGAGGAGCAATATGGGTAGTCTAGTATTGTTAGATTAATAGTCTTTAGCCTAGTATAAATACAAAGAGAGGGGAAAGGAAAAGACAGGCAGAATTTGGAATGAATCATTTTGACTTTTGAGAGTTGTGAGCTCAAGTCATTATTAGGAGAGTAGTAACCTCAAGCTACCTTGGAGATTTGCAACCTAAAGTTGCTATTGTAGTTTGTAAAAGTCAATCTTTTTTTTTTTAATCAAAGAATCAATCTTTTTCTCTATATTTTCCTGTTATTTTGTTTGAGTAATTTAACAGTATTCAGTCTATTACACAAGACTATGGATCTGTATCTACGCGTATAAATAATTACCATGATCCACCCATCTGCTTAGATATGGTGTTGGATTGAGGTGCTTCTTACACTGTTCGTTACTCTGCTCTGATTTCTGATTAGGAATATTTGTAAGGATGCCAGTTTTCCAAATCTTAATGCTGTTTTGCTGTAAATAGAAATATTGGTGTGGAAAATGCAATTTTTTACTCATCAGCCCCTGGAAAAATTGACTTAGCCATGATATAATCCTGAATCATTTGAGGGTGTAGCCTCAGTACTCTAGATCTGTATCTATATGATATGCATTGTTAACTAGAGTGTGGGATTAGAATGCTTCACATAGATGTATCAAAAGAAAGTGTCATTGCAAAAGTGTGTAATTTTTAGGGACTCCTTTCTTCTTGTGTGTTGACTTCTGCTCACTAAATCTTACTGTTTGAAGCACTTTTAGGAGCTTTGATAAGCCAATGAATGTAGGTGATTAAAGAACCTCTCTTATCAGCCGTGACTTGTGTATTTGGACCTATTAATATATAAGATTCAGGCAGCTCCTTTGTGATGATTAGAAATGAAAGGGACATTAACTCTCATGCTTTTAGATATGGCATAATTCAAGAACTCCATATTGGCTGCTAGCCAAAGACAGATTATTTTCTGCCCCCCACTAGACTGCATCAGGTATATGCATGCCAATGGTAAATTAATGTAGTCCAATGGCTATGTGTGTGTTAAAGGTCTGTTCTATTGATAAGGAAGTGGCCTGGACAACCTTGTAAATGGCAGGAAAGGAAAGGTGGCCTTCAAGTTGGTTAGAATTGGTTGGTAAGAAGCAGAATAACCCATTTCTTTGTTTGCTGTGGTTCTAACATTTGCAAGCAGGGAAGGAGGCCTTTATATTGTATTGTTTGGCTAGGGGTTGGGATGAATGTGCTACATATGAGTAGGACCCTGCTATTTATACCTTCCCTAATTTAACTAATTGGAAGCTGTGTGCAATGTACTGGCTACTCTCAAATGTTGTAACAGTAATGTAATAGTAATAAAAATAGAGTCTTGTTAAGAGGAAAGCTTGGAACTTGATTTACTTGGATGTTAACGGCTACAAAAAGGCACTACTCTACTACTACTGAAATTCTACTCACTACAATACTTCTCTCAACATGCCTCTACTGTTTCATTACTTCACTATATATACCAAGCTCCTAATGCCAGCAATCCAACCCTAGCATTAAAAAACTTTGTCCTGTTCTGCCACAAGGGAGGCCTTCACTGCAGCAGTCCTTTCGCCACATTCTATAGTGGAGTATTAATTTGTTTTGTCCTGTTCTGGAGTACCCTGCTGTTGCTGCTGATCTTGTGCCTTGATTCTGCGCCTTCTCTCATATACCCTTATGGGCTGTTGTGTTATGGGCTGTTGTGTAGGCTCGACCCAATCCATGACACTGTGATCTAAGAATTCTCCTTTTGTGGTTGTCTGTGAAGCAGAGGAGGCATCTGTTGTTCCCCCCATTATCCTGAAGGGAAACCTTTTCAATTCAGTGTGGGCACCTGCCTTCTTTGTTAATCTTTCATCTCCAACCTTTCTTATTTATCTAATCATTTATTAATTACTTATGACATAATCCCATTTAAGAATAATGAGGGTCTGGCGAGGTCAATAGGAGTATAAGGACTATAAGTCTAAGTAGTCAAGCCTGTCGGAGCAACTGTTTCGACCTTGGAAATGCTATCCTAGTTTTGCAATCAAGGCTTATAGAATTGGAAGAAAATGAACCTAACGAGGACCTTTAGGAAGACAGGCTCCTTTTTGATATTATCACTCTACAAATTGGGATGTGACCAGAAAAACTCTATGTTTAGTTATTTTTAGTTGTGTACTGGAATATTAATCTTCACAGTACCAGTGTTTGAAAAAGCGCGCCTAAGGCTCAAGGCGATCAGGGTGAGCACTTATTTTGGTCTGGCAAGGCGTTTTTGGTTAGGCGCACCCAAGGCGCACTTCAGCCAAAATTTTGTAACTGCCCATATAGTGCGCCTCACTTCAAAGAGAAGCGCCTCGCGCAGCAGAACCCTCTCGCTTTAGTGCGCCTTAGCTTTTTTATACATTGCTTCACACTATTCTTTCTCACTTGTCCAGAACTGTCTTCACTAATTCACTAAGAATATTTGGCCAGTTGGCTCTGTTCTCTTATGTTAATAATGTAGTGTATCTTGGACAAATAAGGCTGTTCACGCTGAAAAGACTGTAACACTTAAGATGTCTGTAATTGAAGGTAGATATTTTTGTTATAAGAAACTTGTTGCGTAACAGACTGCATATGCTGGAGGCCAACTGAAGTGATGCTTTCAGTGGAATCACCCATTGTGAAGATGGTTACGTACAATGTATCCAAGTAATGCCTAAGTTTATGCCTATTAGTCTATGGATAATTGGTAAGAAGAATTTGAAAGGGAGCTAGTGATGTATGTCTCCAATTCATATGGTGCTGGAATTGGAAAGTAAACTAATTTGGAGGAGCATAGTTTATCCTAGGTGTCTCTTTTCACCTATAGTTTCTCTGTACAATTTTGGCAATTAATACAGAGTAATTTACTATAGTATTGAAATTTATTGACGAGTTGTACTTTTCAATGGAAGATTTCAGCTGCAAGCACTGATGTCTGCCACAGAAAACGATAAGGATCATTTAGATAATTTTCTAATTATTCTGGGGTTGAATCATTAGGATATATACAAAGTATACAATCTCTTATAGCTATTTCTAGAGTATTGAAAGGCTGAAAGCTGGTTCAGGGAGCTCAATCTTTCTGAAGTTTCATGTGAACTTGAGTCTAAGACTCTGTGCTAACAAAGTTCTCTCTCACCAACATCTTCATTGCTTTTTACTATTATCATCATTAAGCCGATGATAGCACATACCTAAGAAGTAAGAATTCCTCAGTAAATTAGATGCTTTCATATGGGTGAAGTCAACTTTATCACAGTATGATCAGAAAGGCACTTCCTCATTCTGCTCTGTAAGCATGATTGTTTCTCTCATTCTTTTACTCTTCTTGTGATGGCCCGAAGTAGAAAATGAGTGAATGTAGTGAGATTTTCAATCATGATATCTTGTCATATTCAGGAAGCAATTTTCGGTAACCCCTTATCTCATATGTATGTTTCTGTGAGCAGGCAGATGATGAAGCTATGGAATTGAACAAGGAGCTGATGTCTAAATTGCTCGAACTTGATGACGTTGATGCTGTATATACCGACCAGAAATAAGGATCAAGATTCTCTCTGAAGTCATTAATTAGACGATCCATCATCGAGTTACCAGAGAAAATAATCATTTCTCGCAAATAAACTATTGGCTGGAGAAGTAGCCTCCTTGATACACTCGTTTCGTCTGCGGAGTTGACATATATTGGTTGCCAAACTTTGCCATCTATGGCTTTTACATTCCTGATTCAAGAAAGATAGGATTTGAGGAATTAACCCCTCTTTGTTTTTGGCAAAATGCCAATGTATTAATCCCACAATTTTGAACTACTCAATTTTGTATAGTAGTCAGGAAACAATTTTTTTTTTTTGAAAGATAGACAGGAAACATTTTGAATACATTCGTTGATATATTGAATACTCCTCGTACATTTTTTGATGATAATCAAAAAGATTTGTTTCCTTTATCAAATGTATGGTGATGGGTGGTGTTTAGCATTTCACAACTTTATAAAGGGTATTATTACCTAGAACTTAGGTCTGAGAATGTATATACAATACAAGTATAAACCAGTTCTGTCACTGATATTCAAAGCACTGAATGGGAAAACGCCATTTTTAAGGGCTGGCAGTCTGTAATAACACTCGTCTCTTGATATTGATCATCACTCACTGATAAGTTCATCCTGAGGACGGTAATTTTGTATGTACTACTAGTATTTTGTACATGGTATAACCAAGGTTGTATCTTTGCTCATGTGCTTAAAATGAAGACGCTCCTTGACTCCTTGAGGATGGGTAGAACTATGTTGACCTGATTCATCACACGGCTTTACATATAGCACACCACCGTGGAGGAAGAAGGGATTTAAATATTCAATCATGATTTTGGGGCTCAAAATCAAATAGATATCACTCTAATTGGCTCTTTTATATTTGATAATAAACAACATAAGTTCATATGAAAACTCAACAGATACAAATACAGGAGGCAGTCTATATATACTTAACAGGTATTTAGATTAAAACATACCCCAAAAACCTATGAAGTGTAAGCACAAAATTATAGATTAAGTACCAAAGTAACATACAGAAGGATAAACTATATGCATAAAGCTACTACCTTATACTTCGTACATAATTTTTTTTTTGCTGGTATTACACTATACCATACACTATATAACTTATTTACATGTAAACATATGTACGTTATTGTACAAACATGTATATAGTTGAAGGCTAACTTCAATTCCACAAAGTGACATTAGAGATAATTATAAGGTGCAACGAACTCCATATCGTTGATTGGCCTCCTAGCGCGAGGCAAATGATAGAATTATATTGGAGGGATATTTGTTGTGGTGATAGGTTCAAGCTCTTACCATAACATACAGTCTTTGTTGTTGTTGTTGTTCCTAAGCTTCGAGGCGAGTACGTGGCTTGTAGCTAGCCATCTAGAATATGTTCAAAAGGAAAACTAATCCATAGGAATCCAACATCCATGCAAACCATAAGGAAGACCATAAGGAAATTTGGCTCGTGCAATCTCTTCAAAGGTCGAGCCATCTAGAACCAATGCATATCCTTCTCCATTTTTTCCACTAACCACTGATATCACCACTCCTAAAAAATTCACCCATATTATCAATTTATGCTGAATTTCAAGTTTAATTAATAAACTTTAAAGGCTTACTACATTATTATACAAAATCACTCGTAAAGTCATTTGGATGGGTATATATATAAAGCTATACGTTTCAAATATAAGTTTTATTTATCAGAAAATATAAACAATGATTCGGCTGATACTATGAAATTTCAGTTATCATGCATCATTTTAGGTTCATAAGGATCCCAAACTCGTAAAAATAGTAACGTGACACAATTTAATCTTATCTTCTAGAGTTCCAATAATAAAATTTTACTAGCTAATTAAAATGTAAAATACTTCGTAGTTGATATTTACTCGTCTTTTTGTATAGAAAGGATGAAAGAAATTACCATCATCTTCTTTGGTTGCCCCAGGGCGAGGCACGAAGTAAGGTTCAGAAGGCACAGCACCCTCTTCATACCAATTTTTTGCCTTCTTCTCAACCAAATCAATCTGCACCATTATAGATCGAATTCGTTAGGCTATATAAAATGTGACTAACACATGGAAATAAAGTTAGAAGCATAATACAATAGCTAAAAACAATTCATCCGTTGACTTATAAACAAATTAATTAAAACCATTAAATAAATTGTGATCGGCCGACCCATATCTACACAAATTATTTTTAGGCTTACGTTTACTACACTTGCAAATATTAAATGGTGATATGCAAGTCATATCATGTCATTTATTAATTTTATTATAAAAGTAACAAAAAGTTTTATTAAATTAGCACTTTTTCTTAATAAGATTTGATTGTGTTTTATTGAATTAGGTTTATTAATTTGTTTTATTATTGATGAAAATCAATAGTGACATGATTGACAATTTGTCATACATGGTCCAACAATTATTTAAATCACTATAGTCAAATAATAAATTGGTGACTAGGCTTCATCTAGCTAAATATAATTACACTTCATTTCGTATATTTGATAGTGTATGCTCTTGCCACCATATAACTCACATATTGTACATGTAGTGCACGAATTGATACTTGCATATAATTAATGCATGTAGTATATGTAGATTTGGTACCTTAGTTAGAGTGTTGGGGAAGTTACAAGGGCGACGAGCTCCACAAGCATAAGCATAACGATATTTTTTGCCCAAGTAAGAAGGGTTAATACTACACATATCCATGCCTCGACCATGCTCCTCTGGGTCCAATGCTGCCTCTAGCTTCCCATATGGCATCCCATTCATTGGAATTGTGAAACGACCAACCCTGCACCCGTAATTATCATCATTTTATTTATATGACAAGATCGATATTCTATATATCATATTATAAGTCATCTCATGTTTAATATTTAATATCTAAGAAACAATAAAAATTCAACTTGTATAAAAATTTGATATTAGATTTTTTTTGTGAATCTAACAAATTTTTTATGAATCTAACAAATTTGAAGTCTAAGCTAATTAGTAAATTTATTACAAACGCTTAAAGTTGGTAAGAATATATAAGGTCGTTAAGTGTTTAAACATGAAACTATATATAATGTAATTTGTAGTCTTCATATTACAATTACTACAATGCAATGTAATATTTGTGTGCGTTTATAGTTGTAATATACATACCTTGCACTTGGAAGTACGTCTTCACCTAGGAATGAGCGTAAATTCTTGAGCCTTAGCTTGTCAAGGATAGAAGTATCTGCATTGTGTTCACAACAGTCTGCAACGATTGCGGTTACATTGCCTTCTTCGTCTGTTTCTTCATATGCGTTTATGAAATGAAATGTCAAGAACAAGGGCACTTCGACAGTAGCCACCTACAAATATCATGTAAAATACTAAAAATGAGTTTATTCCTAATTATGATCATTAGACATTCAGTGTTTAATTATATATTAACTATATAATGAAGTATTAACTAAAAAGGCAAAGGCAAAGACAAAATAAGTTTTTTTAATTTTATTATTGTTATTTTACAATATAGAGAGCTATAAAGACATAGTAGCTTTATGTGTAGTTGTAGGGTTTAGACAAGTGAAAATTAGTTATATTGATATATCGATCTCCATGCAATTGTGAATTTGAAGGTTAAACTTCATCCGCTGTAATTTTTTCTAAAAATGTATTATACGATTTATGTTACTATGGAGTATTATTTATGGCCGTATAAGATATTTTAGCTTGAAAACATAAACTTATACAAGCCAATTTGGTCGTGAAATACTAACAAAATGTTGGCTCACTTGATCTGATAAGGCTTTTATTTCATATCTTAGAAGTATGAGGTTCAAATCCTATCAAGTGAGGGTATGTGGGGTAGAAATGATCCCTAACCCCCCTTACTCCCAAGTATCTGGCCCGTAAATACTGAACCAAAAAACTATGAGAGTTGAGGTCTGATCAGGATCCTCCTTAGCAATTAAAAAAAATACAAAATTGGTCGTGAAATAGTATAAGAAGAGAGTAGTTTATGTTAGTACATACCAAGCTTCCGCTGAATCTACACATAACATGCACAAATGCTTTAGATTGAGGGTGCCACTCAAACTTGTAAAGTGGGGTAGGCTCAGCCCTTAACAAGTTCTTTACACAGTATCTTAAGGGCATCTCCGGCACAATTATGTAATTTTCAGTGACCGGGAAAGAGTGGACCCACCCCGGGGTGGGCCCGCCGCGACAATTGATTCTCCCAATCACTCGCCGTCCATTTGATCCTGCTTTCATCCTGACCGCTAGATAACCAGGGTTGACCAAATCTGGGAGCAAAGTCAACATCTCATCTTTTGTTACAATAGGATGAGCTGAATGTAAAAGTAGCCTTTGAAAGGGGTCATTAAACTCTAATTTCCCCAACGTTTCCAATGTGTTAGGGTCAATTATTATTGACCCTTTTTGTGTCTCTGTTAGGCAAACTACTCGTCCATCTCCGAGTCTTACCACTCCTACAAATACACATGTATGTATATAAGAAAACTTTACGACATGATTATATATTTCGTAATTCTCACATTATGTATGTCAATTATTTGTGATATTTACCTGATGTAAATTATATGTGCTTCGATTCATTATTACGTCTTTATTTCTTATTAATTTTACTAAATCACATAACTAAATGCATCAAAAAAATTAGTCTATTAATATTTTATGAGAATTGATTTTAGGTCATCATCAGTAACATACCACCATATATATAATACGTAAATCATATTGATGCATACATATATTAATATAGTAAGAACATGACTAGTTATTAATATTAAGTAGACTTTACTTAAGTATAATATGTAGTGTTTTCCATTAAGAGGACATGTAATTATGAGGGGTTATATTTAATAAAAAAATTTACCTGTATTAGCATTATCAGTAAGTGAAGCACCAGTGAATAGATTGGCTAATTCACCGATGTAAGCAAGAAAATTATTAGGTTTAGGAGTTTCAGAAAATTCCCTATAACAAATTTTATTGTTCTTCCTTGCCGCCTTGTATGCCTCTGATTCGAGTTGCCGGTGACCAGCAACCAGCCTTCCGTTCTCAAAGTGAAGCTTAACAAGGGTGGCATAGCCGTCGAAGAGGTGCCGGAATTGGTGGTCTCCCATATGCCATAAGCCAGGACCATTCCTTAGATATGTTCCACGCTGCATTCAACATGCATTATTATTATTATTGGTTTTTGATATATGTACATATATATGATTTTTCATTAAGGTGCAATTGAATATGTATTAAGAGTATAATTAAAATATACTACCTCCGTTTCATATTATTTGCAACTTTAAAATATTTTATATCTCACAAATAATATCTCAAAGTTGTAAATAATATGAAACAGATGTAGTGTATATGTAACTT